CTGTGTCATAGGTCCTCCCTCCTCATAATTTAGCTTTGAAACAAACATTACAAACACTGTTGGTTTCAAAAAGCTTTAGATGACAGCACTGTCATTTTTAATTATGAGGAAAGGCACATTTTGTAAATACAATATGTCACAAGTGTCAATTGGTGTGTACAGGTATGTCCTTTTCACTGCAGGCAATAATTTAGAACTTCTTTACACTGGTTCAGACTCAAAATGAACTCAACTGAATCACATGGGGTTTATGATTCACTGTCATTGATATCCCTCACTCAGCTGGGAATCTGTTACAAGCTTGCTACACTGCTCAGGGACACCATGTTCAATATTAAAAGGCGGGAGTGGAGATCCTGTACATGACATCCCTCCTGCTCATGTCTGCATCCCAGAGAGCAAGTTAACACACATCTTGTCGGTCTAGCAGCCTCAACACTCCTGTCATCTATGCTTATAATACTGAGGAGTGAGGACGGTCCAGGTGTGATAGATTGTTCGTTGGGTGCTGGAAACATTAGAAAACAGAGTGCGGGATGATTGATGCAGTTCCTGTAGTAGTTTTAAGTTCTATTTTTTTCAGCAAGGATGTTTAGTGTAGCCTATTTTTGCTTCCGAAAGTATACTGTAGATGTTATGGGGGTTCCCATTTCTCCTCCTAGGAGGGAGCTTTGAGATCCTTAAAGTGCAGGTACACTAGCTCTGCCCCTCCACAAAAAATACTTTTCAATCCTTTGAAGTCACTGTTTTATATGGCGAAGCAGCTGTATCATGGACAAGAATACCCAGTATAAAGTTACTCTTATACTTGCCTCATTGTTCCCATTACATTCATTATACTGTATACAGGCATCCCCCGCATTACGGTAGGGTTGCGTCCCTGGAAAATTGACCGTATCGTGAAACCTATTTTCCCATTGACTTCCATTATAAAACTGGAGATGCGTTCCTAAGGAATTTTTTTCGGCCCCCAAAAAGTAATTCAAGCACTTTAATGAATGAAAATAAACATTTATAAACACATACAATACAGTACATTAAATAATTTATGATATACCTCCTTAAAACATCAAGTTTAATATCCAATGTACAGGTGCTCCCCGACTTACGACGGGATTAGGGACCCAAATCCAGGTCGTAAGTCCGACAGATAAAATAAAAATAAATAAATTTAAAAATAAAAATAAAATAAAAAATCTACAATGAAATACAGTACAGTAAAAGTAATAAATAATGAGGAATGGATGCAGTATGACTGAGCACTTACCTTTAATGTAGTCAGCTGAATGCACACGGGGCCCCATAATTTTCTATTTACAGGATACATGGAGACGATATTAATTGGATGAAGCAGAGGAGGCGACAGGGCTGGGTGGATCATCAATGTCGTTTTCTTCAGACAGGTTTATGTACTGTGGAAACTTATTGATTGAAGGTATTGGATCATCTTGAGGGAGTGAAGAGGCAGCACTGGTGGGGCATGAGGAGACAGCACTGGGGGACTTCTTAAAATAGATGTCCAATTTAGACTGCACAGTTTGTTTTTTCTTTTCATTATAAATTTCTCTGTAGCAGGCAAGTGCATCTTGGAATATTCTGTCAACTTTGGCATAACGCTCATAATTTTGATCCATGCCATCAAACATTTGCATTCCTTTATTAATTGTAGCAAATGCCTCTGCCATTTGTTTCACTGAAAGCTTTTTGGGGGGTGCGGGTTCTTCTTCTACATTTTGTCTCTCTTATTCCTCTGCAATTTTCTGTGCATCTATTTCAATAAGATCCTCGTTACTGAGCTCTTCTGCTACACTTTCAACCAACTGTCCAACATCTTCATTATCAATTTCTAACTCCAGCTGTTTACCTAACTCCACTATCTTGTTACTAATATCTGAAATAAAATTTTCATTAAATCCTTTGAAACTGTTCACATATCTTTTCAGGATTTTCTTCCATATTCCATTCATGCAATGTTTTGTAACCTGATCCCATGCTGCACTAATGTTCTTTATACATGACAAAACGTTGTACTCCTTCCAAAACTCTCTGATCATTTTCTCACCTTCAGTAGCAGCAACAGCCTGAGCGAAGGTCGTACGTAAATAATACGCTTTAAAGGCAGCAATAGCACCTTGATCCATGGGTTGGATGAGAGGTAGTGTTAGGTGGAATGTACACTACCTTAACATCAGGGTGCATGTCGTCCAGGTGCGGTGGGTGTCCCGGAGCATTATCCAAAATCAGCAAAATCTTGAATGGAATCCGTTGTTGCAGACAATACTCCTTGGCTCGTGGAATGAAACAAGTCATGAACCAATCCTCAAACAGTGCAAAGGTCATCCAGGCTTTCTTATTACTGCGATAAAACACTGGCAGTGTGTGCTTGCTGAGATTTTTAAAAGCCCTGGGGTTCTCTGAATGATAGATCATGAAGGGCTTTAGCTTGAAACCAGCAACACCCCCCCCCCCCTACAACAGAAGTGTAATTCTGTCACTGAATGCCTTGAATCCTGGCATTGTTTTCACCTCTGTGGATGTATGTCCGCTCAGGCATGCGCTTCCACAATAATCCAGTCTCATCCACATTGAATATTTGCTCAGACAAATAATTCCCTTCCAGAATCACTTCATGTAACTCCTTAAAAGCTTCGGCAGCACCAACATCTGCACTAGCTGCCTCTCCACTCACCTTAACTTTGTGTAGACTGAAGCATTTTTTAGATCTATCAAACCACCCATGACTTCTTGTAAAGGTTTGATCACATTCATCTCCTGCCTGTTCCTTCAGGCCTTGGAACACGCTTCTTGCTTTAGCCTGTATGGTTAGAATGCTTAAGGGTACACGCTTCTGTATCTGGTCTTCTATCCATATCACCAATAATTTTTCCATATCGTGAATAGGACCTTGTCTTTTCTTCGAAATTATAGTTCCCTTTATAGATGTTATTCCTTTCACTACATCACGAATACATTCCTTGTCCTTCAGAATAGTGGATATGGTCGAGTATGAGAAACCTAGGTCGCGTGAGATTGTTGCTACGGTTTTTCCATTCTCATGCTGCATTATTAACTTCATTTTCATCTCAAAAGTAATTGCCTGCCTCCTTTACTTTGGAGCACCACCAGCACTCACTTTTATGCTTTCCAGTCCTTATAAAGTCAATTAAATACGATAATAACGAAAGTTCACAGCGCGATCAGTATAAGATACGATAGCCAAACACAAACTAAGCGCTCCACTGAGTGAGTGTACCCACACGGCGACCCAAGCCGCGCCATGCTCGGGACGGAAACGTTTCGGTATAGAAAATGCCCGCGTCATTTGAAAATATTTTTGGTCACGACTGCCGCGGTCGTAAGTACCGATGGACGTAAGTTGAAGCAGTCGTAAGTAGGGGAGCACCTTAATGCCCTTGCGGCTTTTTTGCACTACTGCGGTCACTTCCACTTGATGGCCTCTTTCCAGTCATCTTAAATAAAGGTAATGCACTGTACTGTACTTACTGTATGTTTGTAAAAGTTAAATCCAACTGCTGGGGCGAGAAACATGCGCACGCACTGGATGTAAACAATGGACCGACTCCTCATGGCGACGCCTCGCTTGGCAGTAGCAAACACCAAGAAATCCACACCAAACAAATTATAAATTTTTTTTTTAATTGTCAAAATTTACCCCAATTCCTGTAAGGGTGGATATACGGGCCACATCGCGAAATTATTGGTCATAATTTACAAATTCCATAAGAGCGAAATTCCACAACCCGGGGGATGCCTGTACATAAATCATCACCATTTTACTGCCATTTGCTTAGCTGTGATTACCTAGTGGCATCTCCCCAAACTGTACGATCAGTTGCACTCTCTCTCATCAGCTTCTTATTTCTTACCTCCACCCCAACTCTCCTCCCTTTCACATTTAAACTCTTGCATCTCTTCCACATGTCTGAACCATATCGGCCTACCTCTGCTCTTCAATACTCCGCTGCCCTCTTAGTCCTGAATTGGGGTTTTGATATTCTCATTTCAACTCAAGTATGTCATCCTTTTTAACTGCCATAAACCACACCTTTTATGCCAGTTAAATTCAAATTTCTTTTCAGTGTACACAAACATAGAAGTTTAATCAACACCTAATACAGGTACTACTGTACAATACTATTTTTCACCTAGCTAAGCCAGTTCCTATACTACTTGTGACAACTCTTTCCAAAACCTACCTCCACCTGTTGTACAGTCGCTGACAAAAGTTCGCTCTCCGTGGTGAAACTGAATCACAGTAACGAGTCTCCGAACTTTACTTACCCTGACTGTTTTCTGGTGCCGATTTATCTCAATTGGGGTCAATACTGCTTCATTTTGGGAGGGAGCAAACTTTTGACCCCCATCTGTACATATGCAGATTTGAGTCGCCAGATTTCGTGCCTACACCAACTGCCCCAGATGTTGAATTACAAGGGTTAGAAAGTATTTAAACTTCAAGGTATATGAATTATTTTAGTTGACCTGTCACTTTGTGCTTCTTTTTTAATCTAGGCTTGATTTTGTAGTGTTTTTAGCACTAGTAAATTCTTTAGAACTGGCTACTTTGAACCAAAAGACCAGCTATTATTATTATCTGGCATTCTTGTCTCTTCTGTACCACCTGTTTTCATGTACTGTACTTGGCATACACCAAGCTTTCTACAGCTCGGCATCTCTACAATCTCGCTTGTCCTTCCTCTCATCATCCCAACACTAGGACTTGGACCTTATCCCAATTACATCAGACTCACACACTTTCCTGATATTCATTCATGTGTGTAAAATTTTGTATTTCAGGCTAATGTTGAATCTATGGTTACAAAGTCACATTTGCTATAGTTGGTTAACGACCAGAATAGGATGCCCCCACCAACAAAAATCAAGATACCTGTACTGGCATGCTTGCAACCCTGATGTAGCAAAAGCAGTTCAATAGTGAAAGATATTTGACAGGCAAGGAAGTTAATAAATCAAATGAATTCCAATAACCATTTATTTAGGACCCCAATTAGAATGTCTTGGGGGATGGTCTGCAATAGGTAATACGATCCATCTTCATATTCTTCTTCTTGGTATGTGATGAATATGGGAACTTGATTGTGGATTTGTGGAATTGAGTGGTTAGTGGTCTGCGGCACTTGCCAACAGATACAGTTTCCACCCGCATGATCTGTAAATACCATGATAAAATTTGTTACAAATAATTACATTTCCCTTTGGATCCATTAATTAATTTTGAATGTATAAATCCACACTTAATGACCAAGAGCATAATGACCGTGGCCAATTTAAAAGTTCGCAATACATTAACACAAATAGACAATTTCATCAAATGCAGTTTTTGTCTTCATATAACCAATTGCATAAGAAATGATGAGAGTTCAGTTCTTGTATGATAGGTTAAACTTAACAAAGGTTTAATGTCAAGATGAAAAACTGACGTTATGATTCCCAAACACTTAAAGTTTATAATATATACTTTCATTTCAACTATTTTATCATTAGAAAACATCTAAGGATTCATTACAGTTACTACACAGATATGTTTGTTGCTCTCTTGATTCACTCCAGTAGCTACTTCAGCGTGTGGAGGCGACAAGAGGCCTTATTCTATGCACAAGTATAAACATAAGCCATAAATAATTTATGACCCAAGGTCACTGTGCATGATAATTATAAAATGCCGAGGGCCCCCCCCCCAATGATGAAACTGAAGTGTCAATTTGAATTTTGATAGTTAGGTGAGAGGGGTAATCTCATTTCCATATGAAGGCTTCATTACTTTGCCATTATCTTGGCCTTTTCACTGTCAAATTTTACCAGACTTTCGTGATGGTTTAATTTTGTGCTCTGTACTTTCTCTGGTGATATATTCCAAAAAATTTTTCTTAAAACACAAGTTATGATCCAAAGAAAAATGAACAGATCACAAGACGAGATCAAAACCACCTAATTTTTTTAAAGGGTCAAAGACAAAATTAAAATAACATTCCATGAAAAGGCAATACAGGTGACCCTCATTATTTCATGGTTCATTACTTGTTTTTGTTATTTTGGAGCACCCCAAATAGCTGCTTTCTCTATTGCAAGGCCAAACACTGTTAATTTGCAGTGTAAGCCGTGAAAAATTAAATGGACCTCCCTGTTCCTGAAGAGTGTTTACAGTACACAGTCGCGAGATATGGATACACCCGACAGTGTTAAGAGCAAAAAGAAAAAAGGGGCTGCTGCATTTGGTGGCATTAAGAAATTGCATGCATTACTTTTGATAAGAAAAAAGAAATCCCCTTACTACTATCCTTCTACCTCCAAAGAACGAAAAGGCTCATTTCATTACCAAGCCTTTTTATTCTGTAACTCTAAGTTCATTATTTTTTCCTCTTTAAAAATTAAACAAAACTGACAACAGAAAAGTACCCAGTAGTTCTATTCAGTTTGAGGCTGTCTCTGTTGTCACTTGCAACACACAGCTATGCAGGAAGACTGACTTGTATTGACCAGAACAACTAAGAGCTTCAGTCTCCAAGCTGAGTCTGAACCAAGGAATTCCCTAAACCTACACCAAATGGAGAGTTACTGAAGTAGGAACCCAAGGCAATCTACATGTAGACCAACAAGAACACTGACAAACTAAACTATCTTACCTGAATGGAGTGAGCACGGGCACGATGACGAGCACCCATGTCCCTGTAGCACTGAGTGACAGCGCCCGACACTGTTAGATCACGGTACTCTCGGTACATGTTGTGAGTTCCCGAGCGAGAGTCATAACGGAGCCAGATGCCAATATTCTTGACAACTTGGGGTTTACGTTCAATAACCTTTAAAGAGAAACTTTATAATATTTCTAAGGAAAGTTTTATTTTCTTCCACTTCATCTACAGTTACTACAGGAGATCAAACCAAACATTACCGTCCCTGGACCTAAAAAAAAACCCCACCATACCCGAGCAAAATTAAATTTACTATTTACATACACAAGGCAGGAAGCTGTGGTGAAAGTCACACTTTATCAGTGATGGAGTGAGACCTTTGTAAAATTGTTTTCTATTCCAACAGTGCTAGACTAGCAATAGCAACATAGATCTTTAGCTGTACAAGTTTATACTACCACACCCACATTTATGTAATATTGTTTGGTTATGTTTTGGGGTCATAATTAGTTGGACTGGAGTGTATAATTGTCATGTTTATTTAAAACAAAATTTTAGGTTAAAATTGTCAGCGGGAACTCCTCTTTAACATGGGATCCTAAAGGAAAATCGGTCCTGCTTAAGAAAATTCACCTAATGCACAGTTCTCAAGTCCTGTACCTGTATTGTAAGCATGTTATTTTGTGAAGTGGCATGTTACTGTATTTTTTAATAATGTAATTTCTAACTTTTAGAAATAAACCTTAGCAGTGTATTTTATTTCCACAAGATAAAATAAAGTATTAATGGCAACATACATACTGTAAGTACTGTATATCTCATATGTTTTTGTGACTTAGAGAAAACTTAACCTTTTCCCCAGACAAAAATAAAAATTCAAGTGCCAGTGGACTACTTTTAGTAGCATTAGAATGCAGAACCATCCCCCCTCCCAGTGTCATTTTATGCATTGCAACATTCGCTTGACCTCATCTGCTTACACTAAGTAAAACCTTACCAAAACCCTACAAATGATAGGAAAATGGCTGGCAAGTGATAATTGTACCTCTGGTAAGAAATACCACAAATTAATTAATCTGGAGGTTTAATTTCATGTTTTAAGGTGTTTTGAAGCTGGTGAATATATGATCTAAAGACTGCAGTTAACAATTAATAACCAATGACATTAAACGCTACAAGTTGTGCAAACCGAAGAAAACTTTCCATCTGTCTTTGGAATTACAATATTTTGTTTTAAAAGTGCATCCTTAGATGAACAGGCCAGCAATCCTGCAACTTCGTCTCAATTACTATCCCAGCTAGCCTGTACAGTACACTGTATGCAGTTTCCTTAACCAACTTTGGTAAATGTTATCTTATTGAAATACATTTTCTATCTAAATATTTATTTTCACTTACTATAATCTAATTTAGGTATTTAATTAAAATTTAAGTGAGAAAATGCTGACCAGAAATATCCCTCAGGAACATAACCTCCATTCATTTACAGTGGTCCCTCAGTTAAACGGTTCAATTAACGAATTACCTCATAAGGATCTTCAATTCGTTTAAAGAAATTCTTACGAAAAACACGCTTTGTTGTAAGCATCAGCTGATGGGCTAATCTGCCAATTCAGTAATCTGTTCTATGTTTACATTCGTTACCAGTGGAGTAAATATCAAGAAAGTTGTGCTCCTTAATATTTTTGCATTTTTTATATTAAAATTATTAGTCATTTTAAAATTTAGTTACCATATTGATAACATATGCAATACAGGGAACTAGTTTTTTGTGCACCCATCAGCCGCTTGACTCAGCCACCAGGCGTCAGTTTGGCTTTGTTTACAGTGGAGTGAACATCAATTTTGTTGATTTCTTGAATATTTTTGCATTTTTTACATTAAAATTATTGGTCATTCTGAAATTTAGTTATCATATTGATAATATATAGTGCAGTGTTGATTTAAATAAAATAATCTTTGAATTACACCTAGTGAACTTGAAATTTTATTTGTGAAACTACTGCATCAGGCATGGGTCCTCTGAAAGGTGATTTCTCCTCCATCCCCACTTCCTTCTCTTCTCCTCCACCCCCGCTTCTAATTCCCATCATCATCATCCAGGAACCTTCTACATACACACCTTAAAGTAAGTGTACTTTACTGCAATTTTTTTTACTTTGTATGTACTTTTCTGTGAGCTGGAACCAATATCCCATTGAAACAATGGATTCGGTTCACTAAATTTTTGGTTAACGAATGACTGTGGAACGAATTGTGTTCGTTAACCAAGGGACCACTGTAATTAGGTGTATGGTAAACTATTATTCAATACACGATGTCGCACTTTTCAAGAACGCATGTGCATGTATGGTGAGGTATATATACAGTATCTATAAAACTTACCAGGTTAATGGAAACAATTTCACCGCTTGCCTTCTTCATCTTCTTCAGCTTAGAGAGGAAATACCAGAAGCGTGACTTAGCAGTTACTCTGTCTGGAGCAAAGATGCGCATCTTATAGAGCTGTGGATTTAGGTCTGAATCTGAGGGCAGCTTGCGCCCAATGACGCTGTACTCTTTGAGCTGAAAATAGATAAATCAATTCTTTAGTTAAGAAGACCTTGTATGACTGACCATCAAAATAAATGAACCCCACCAGTAGATATTTAAAGCTGAATGGGATTCCAAAAGGAAAAGCATTTGGATACACCCCATTTCGTCACCAAAACACCCATTTCACATAAGAAAATAAGGAGTCTGCAATAGGCCGGTTGGCCTGTGCATGGCAGCTCCTGTCGAGAGTTACTACCACTCTCTATCATCCATGAATCTATCCAGCCTCCTTTTGAAACTTTCCAGCATTCCAGCACTTACTACAAAGTTGCTAAGCTTGTTCCTCTCGTCCACCACCCTATTTGTGAACCAGTTTCTTCCTATCTCCCTCCTAAACTTATCCAACTTGAATCCGTTGCTCCGAGTCCTATCCTGCTCGGATATTATAAGAACTTTATTTATATCCCCTTTATCGATTCCTTTCACCCACTTAAATACTTCTATCATATCTCCCCGCACACTTCGTCTTTCTGGGGAATGCAAGTCAAGTTTCTTAAACCTATCCTGATATGGAAGGTTTCTAAGTCCCGGAATCATTTTTGTCATTCTTCGCTACACCGACTCTAGTGAATTTATATCCATTCTATAATAGGGGCACCAGAACTGAACCGCATAACCAAGGTGCGGCCTGACTAGAGCAAGATATAGTTGAGTGCATGTACCTAACCTAACCTAACCTCGACTAGTATTTGGTGTCACGAAGTCACAAAAAATTGGTAAACTTAATTTAATCTGAGTTAATAGATCGAGTGCATGTACCTAACCTAACACAACTCAGATTAAATTAAGTTTACCAATTTTTTGACTTTATGACACCAAATAATAATCGAGAAGTGATTCACAGCCCAATTTACGCTTGTAGGACCATCAATTGACTTCATTGCGACTACATTTGGGTAATTACTCGTTCCCTCGGTACATGCACGCGATCTATTAACTCAGATTAAAGTTTTCCAATTTTTTTTTTTTACATTGTGACACCAAATACTAGTCGAGAAGTGAAAGGCAGTCCGATTTATTCATGTAGGACCATTATTTGACTTAACTGCGGGTACATTTGGGTAATTAGTCGGACCGGCTTTGTAGTAAGTGCTGGAACTCTGGAAAGTTTCAAAAGGCTAGATATATTCATGGATGATAGAGAGTGGTAGTAACTCTCGACAGGAGCTGCCATGCACAGACCAACCGGCCTATTGCAGACTCCTTATTTTCTTATGTTCTTATGCTCACATCAATTACCTCGCCGCAAGATGTAAACAAGGCTACCATCAGATTCGAGCACAGTATGAAGTTTACCATTAAATATCAAAAGCATCCGTTTATCTTCCCGAAAAATATGTGCAAATCTTATTTCTTTAGGGGTATAAAGGGTCGGTAAGGGTACAAATAAAGGTAAAATTAAGGTAACAACATTAATAAATGAAGATATTCTACTTCACTCGCACGTGAGTATGAACTTGCTGGAGCATACAAACATTTTTACTTCATAATTTTTAATATAATTATATTCGTATAAGAACTAAAACAAACAACATCAATGAAGGTATGATCCATGTGTTTGTCCGTACCACAGATTTTTTAATATTTTAAAAATAAAATATATAATTCCTCAAAATACTAGGAGACTCACCAGACCGGAGGCCTTCATGGTGGCGCTCTGTTGTGGAAGGACCACCACCCGCGGTGCTCTGCCTCACATGGGGAACTATCTTCTTTTAAAAGTCATAAACAAATGATACTAATTGCATTATTGCACAATGCAAACTATACAAGAGAAGAATTTGGGTGAAAAGATTATACATTATTTTTTTCATTGATAATGATGAACTAAATAATCCCAAAACGGTAGAAATTATGACAAATTGCCCTAATATTTTAATTGTACAGTATTCACCATCATATAATAATGTGATGCAATTTATTGTCATTCATATCCCGTATATTATGAATAATAGCTCTGCATGACTAAACCACTGGTTAGCAGAAATGACAAACTCCTATCCAATAAAAATATTCTGCAGTATATTATTGGAACACCAACTTCACCAAGTGACAACATGGAAAAGCGGCAGCGCCTCGTGTGGTTGTTATAGCCCTCTAAAATGACTTCTTGACACACCTCAAGAAAGATTACCGCAACTTTTATTAGGTACAGTTTAGTAATGAAGTCTCTTCTTGATCTTGTGGAAAAATTATTTCTTGATATTTATAAAGGAGAGCGAGCCTGAATGATTGTTTACGTTGGTACAGTTAAGGTCGTTGCAAGAACAGCTGACTGCAGTTGTCATCAGGTGTTAGGAAGTTTGGACTCAATGTCTTTTACTTTTATCATCTTCGCCACTTATCGACTCATTAGCCGCTTGGGCGGTCGGTCACGTCTCTGTTCGCATGTACTGGGTATGCACTGACTCCTGAATGTATCAGAACCTGCTCCAGTGTTGGTCAAGGCTTGTATAATAATAAATTGACAGTACGAAAAATAGTGTATATTAATTTATATTTACATATAAGTAAACTAATAGAATGTTAATTTGGTAAAATTACTGTTTAGGTTAGGTAAATTTGCACTTCCACCTCCCCATCTGTTAGAAAGTCAAAAATATATTTATCTTAGTGTATTTGTGTGTGTTTAGACCGAATATGACCTTCATTTCCGACGGAAATTGACCCTTTTTTTTATCGATTTTTTTTCGTGGGACGTTTTTCGAAAAAAAATTAATGGCTAAGCGAATAAAAAATACACAAAAACACACTAGAAAAACTAACCTAACTGACTCGCCATATGATGGAATCACCTATTTCTTACCTTAGGTTATGTTAGGTTGGTTGAGGCTGAAAAAAAGTATAGAGCAACTGCACTGTAGAGAAGAAATTAACAGCCTCTTGACAGCAGTCAACAGCACGTCGGCCTACCAGATTTAGTGAATGAGCCGCACAGGGCACATATATAGCAAACTAGTTTGTTTCTAGAATTTTTTGCTGCATCCCCTTATAACGCCCAGACATGTTTGCAGCGTTGTCGTAAGATTGACCCCTACATTTTGAAAAGTTTAGCTTACAAACTTCATGTAAGTACTGCAACACCTGATTTGCCATTTCCTCACCGGTATGGCTTTCATTTCCAGAAAGGTTAAAAAGCGTTCAATAGGCTGTCCATCTTTTAAGTACCTAAGTACAACACTTAACTGATCGATATGTGGGCCTTTTTTTGTGAACCCTGGTTCAGCTGCACCATTTGCAGTTTTGCACCATATGGTCCGTGGTAAATCCGGCTATGGAAAATTTCTGTGGTGCCCCCCTTCCCTTAATGCCCTAAGCACGTGCTTATTTTGCTTAATGGTTAATCCAGCCCTGTTCACAGCCCGATTTACGCTTGTATGACCATCATTTGACTTCAATGTGGCTACATTTGGGTTCATTTGGGTAATTAGTGGTACCGGCAAATTTAGTTTCGGTTATCCAGCATGCTTTAGGATTTTAAGATTTGGAGGTGGTAGTTTAGACAATTCCAAGACACTTTTCTACTATAGCATTTCCGTCAGAAATTTATGTTTTTCGAGTATTTTAACCGATAAAATTACCAACAATATTAGTTGTTTAAAGTGGGCAAGGCTTTGAAGTCGAGGGAAAATGTGGGGTAAAATGCTAAAAATAACACCAAACAAATGTTTGAAAACCTAACCTAACATTTCCTAACTGTTAAAAATCCTAAAACTATATAAATATTACATTATTCATGTTAGCCTTGAACTGCACCTTTACCTTCATGTTTTCGGTGTTTAGTAGATGATGATTTTCGGTTTTTAGTATGTGCTGGTGTTGTTTTCGGTGTTCAGATGAAAAGGGATCCATAAACTCTAAATTGATTCATTTAGTAATGATGACTGACCCGCGGACGAGTTATTTATTTTACTTTTTACTCTATTTTCATCTGTGAGTTCTGATATAATAATCATTTCTTGTGCAAATGCTCTGTTTGGTAGATAATTAGGCACCTAGGCGCACAATACTTTGTCTTTGTGGCGGTAATGCAACGGCAGTGACGTCTCAACCCAGGTTGGGTAAATTTTTACTTTAGGACACGAGACCCTAGGAGCTGACCAGTATGTTTTTCCAGTGTATTTTGGTGTGTTTTAAACGAATCTGACCTTCATTTTTGGCGGAAATTGCTCGGTTTTGCCCCCCCCCCCCCCACAATAATGGGGGAGAGCCTGGGAAATCGTGAATTTTGGGTGGGGGAGAAAACAAAACCGAGTCATCTAACCCGACCCCTAGCCGGGGGATCTGCTCCCGGTAGGCCTAGCTTAAACTAATCTAAATGTTTCAGTGGTTAAAAACTTTGGGGTGCGCCACGTCCGAAAGTACAATACCTTAGTTAGAAGTGGAAGGACCAGGAATACGTAAGAATTGGATAGAATAATCGTCTCGTAAAACTCGGCAATAAACTTAAAATAATCGTAGGGGCACAAACGACAACCAACCTCCACCATGGCCATTGTGAAACTGGTCAATGAAATTAAAATCGTACCCAGGCTGCTTTCTTTGAAAAAAATCAAATTTGATGGTCAAAAAAAATTTGTATGATGATATCGATACCTCATTGGTCACGACTGGATGACGTCAGTCAACATTGCGCATGCGTGATGCACCGATAACATCACCTCACAGACGAAGACTGGAAATTACTTAAAATCAATTTAATTCAATTGTGTCGCTATTATCAACTTCCGCCATATTTTTACGGGGTTCAAAATGCTCAAAGTAGCGAGATCTAAATGTTTCAGTAGTTGATAACTTTCGGGGGGCGCTATGTCCGAAAGTAAACTAATACCCGAGGATGTAAACAGCCAATCATATTGAAGTATTTAAAAACACTTCGCCGCCTGGGCTTGATCAACGCCGATGCTCAGTGTATCGTTAAGAACTTTTCGGTACGGACAGCTGCTTTCATGTCCACCAAATTTTTTTTAAATTACACCATATAATATTAAGTTCTTTCTGTTTAATATACAACTAGAAAGTTAAATAAGGTTAGGTACGTAGTTTGGTTAGGTTGGTGAGGTCTTTTAACAATGCTTCTGCTGCTTGTTTTTCATATCAACTAAAGTTAGGTTACATTTAATTTAGAAACAACCACATTTGTACAAACTATGAGTGTCCTCTACAAAACAGTGAAATTGCAGCATTTTTACAATCGTTTTCTATGAAAAATTGGCTGCGGGTCAGTCATCATTAATTACCATTGATCTTAACATTTTTACAAGTTAGGAATCATTAGGTAAGGTTTGTTTATTTATTTATTTAATTTTTTTTTTTACCCCACATTTTCCCTCTACTTCAAAGCGCCTGCCCACTTTAAACAAGGGTAATGTATGAGAACACTGCTACCACCAGGAGGAGCTGTTAAAGATTTCATTCTTTTCCACATGTTCTTTGCATTATAGTAAGTATTTTAAAAGAGGCGACAACTTTTTATTTTAATTATAAGTATTTTTTTATTATTTTTTTTCTCTATATATGATCATAAATCACATGTAGTGGGCAGGGCATGAAGGATGAGGGAAACTGCGGGGTAAAACATGGTGAAAAACTGATCATGACACTAAAATCAAATATATGTGCTTTGTTCACAAAGAAATTAAATTTTTACTGTAAATATTAAAGTGCAGGTCAGAGTGTCTCCAAGGCAAAGTGTTACCCAGTTAGTGTCCTACCTCCTAGTTAGAATGTCTGCTGCCATTTGCTCTATTATCATCTAGAAATAAAGAATATGAAATAACTATTTCCTGAATGGGACACAACAAACTATGATTTTTATAGCTTAAGGGATCCCTAATGTGTATGACTTGTGTTAAACAGACATGATTCTTCAACTAAATAGTTCAGATTATTGATCCTGAATTAGTTAAACTCTCTCTACTGCTGTGCTGAAGCCCATAAGACAACATTTGGTAGTCTTGGCATACTCAAGCGTTGTATTACTACTGTATACACTAAAGATTATTGTTGAATTAGGATTATTGAATGATTGTCACTTGTTTGACCCAAAATGAGTTCCACAAAGTTTATAGTTGCACGAGTTCCAGGAATTACTGACCATTCTCTTTGTCTGAGATAGAAGATAAATGCTGCTGTAATATATATATTTGCTTACTAGTGTTTCTGTTTTAACTACAAAATCTAAAGGAATTTGCTTGGTTATTCCTGTTACATTTAGTGACATGCCATACAGTAAAGCCTCTCTAAGGCAGACTAATTGGGGGGAGGGGGTGTCCTGGATAAGAGCAAATTTTTCCCAAAAGACCTCTATTTAAAAAAAAAACGAGTACAACACCAATGTATCCAATTTTTATGAATGTATTACATTTTTTTAATCAAAATTAATTAAAAAAAAAGTAATGTACACAAAGAACTGTACACTTACCTCAAAAATGGAAGGCAGATTCAGCTGGACATGCCTCTCACTGAAAGAGGCTTGCAGTCACTCTGAGGCTGACTGCTTTGAAATTTCATATATTAGCACATATTTGTGAGGGAGCATGTCATCTTACAACAAATTGTCTTCTTTTTTTTTCTTCTTTTTTCCAAATAATTTTGTCCGGCTTAAGAGGGGTCCGCCTTAGCGAGATTTTACTGTATTAGCTAATGAGTACAGTAATGACCTATTGGGAGGATTTGTTGCTGTGTTGGTAGCAGGGCCAACACTATCCTGGCAGTGTGCCCTTTATATATGGTAAGTCAGATATTTAGTACAATATATCAACTGCTTTTTATATCGGACTTGGGTCAGATCATGAAAACAGATATTTACCATAGGTGGTGTTTAATTTGGGACTTGAGTGTAACTCCCAATTAGTACATTGGCAGGAGATGGGTCTACACATTATTCACTCTTCAGTTAATTGTTAGTTCTGTAATGTTTAGTAAAGGGACAGGAGAAAGTCTAGCTCAAGAAATAAGACTTGGGGGGGGCCTTTTAGTGAGAGGCTGTAATATATTTTCTGCCAAGTCTGAGATACCTGCCTCATTTGACAGTGGGCTCACTTCAGGCCTGGTATCTGGGTTGACACACAAAGGGGATTGCTAGGGATTTTTCTGAAATAAAATTCTTTCTTTGACTTAATATATTCTTTGTCTAAGTACTGTATT